GTTATTATTCCTGTTAGCAAATGTTATTATTACTTTACAGTTTCTGGTTACCATTCTGATAAAGTTAGCTTACTGTTTTGTTATTGTTCCTGTTAATATAAGTGTAACTGTTAAATTTTTGTTACTTTTGCTGTGACTATACAGTTATAATCACTTTTCTGGTTTTTCTTGGTTTTTTTTTGTTGTTTTTTTAAAGACTGGCCCACTCTTTTTTAAAACTGAACATAACTGATACATAACAATCGATATTGGTCATGTTGATTAATAACTTTCTTTTCATAATAAATTATAAGATTGAACACAATTGTGACACAATGTAAAGTTATTTTGACTTATATATTAGCACTCACCATTTGCAGTGAATGGGCATATTGCCAGTTTAAAGGCCCATTATGCCTCAAAAAACATTTTTTTTAATTTCTGAAAAACTTTTGATTTTTGGTATCCTGTTATCATACTCGTTTGCCATATACATAAACAATTGTTTGCTGTTTAAATCTGTTGGCAATTGGTATAATTACAGTCAATTAGTATTTTGTATTGGCAGTCAAAATACTTGTTTGTTAACACTTTGCTACCTTAACGACACATTGTTGCACATGCAGTGCTTTTCTTCAGTTGCTAAACATTTAACAATCTCTTAATCCATTATTTAAGCACATGCTTGACATTTCTAAAGAATGAAAAAAGTATATAAATTTCTGAGGCATGATTTGCCTTTTACTCGCTTAAGGCAACTATTTTCCTCCAAATATCCTGGAAATTTGTTACAATGGCTGTTGCTTAATTTCAAGCTCAAGTTTTAATATTGGTCACCTGTGGTCAAAAACTAAGCCACAAAGCGCAACTATAGAAATCGTTTATTTAACACTCAAGAGGTAAGATTTTCAGCCAATATTACTGAAAATTTGTATTTTACTAATGTTTGCTATATGTGGCTATAGCATTGTTATTGTTGAATGGATTGTCCTCAACTTGAACATAATAATTGTTTAGAATAAGCCTTTAAGTTAACAAGACAGACCTTGACCTTTACTCATAAATGTAGATATACAGTTATAGTAACTTTGCTGATATTGGGTCTTTGGTGTTATGTTTCTTACTTTTTCTTGTTCTTCTGTAATTACTAGTTTCAATAACAGTTCATCCTCTCTTGCAGTACTTTTTTATTAGTTTACTGTTAAGTAACTGGTTACTTCTACATTAATTTTTACTGATTATTTTAAAGTTACTGTACTGTTTTATTTTATTCCTGTTATGTTTCTTACTTACAGAATTTAATTAGTAATTTTATTTCATATAATGCAGGAAGCTACCTAGAAACTGTCCAAACATTTTTACAAATTACTTGAAAGGTGCTGTTCAAGTTAACTATCAAAACATGTTTGTAAATCAATTCTACCATTCTATATTGAACTATTATCAATAAAACAAGGGCTGCCACCTAGCGGGACCAGTTTCAACTTTTTCTTATTTATAAGTCAATTTTTTTTAACTTAGAAAATTCCTGATTAAAGTTTTACATGCCACATAAATCTTTGAAACTACTGAAAGTATTCACCGTAAACTAAATACGTGTCTTTAGAATCATATTAGGATATCACTATCGAATACCCATAATTCAGACATGAATTTTGCTTCAGTTAGGACAATTTGTGGGGACCGTCCTGTGATATGTTTGCTAACGGCCTGTTTACCTTGATTTTACGATAACTTGAGAAGGAATAAGCCATGGTTCATTTTATTTGGTAGGGACATTGGCCATGGACAGTAAATGACCTATATTGATGGTTGAGGTCATAAGGTCAAAGGACAAGGTAACCATGACACTTCATGTAAAATCCTTGGCTGATAAACAAACTCCGATGAACAAATTTAGAAAAAATAAGCCATGGCTTAAATATTTTTTGTTTGATTGGGTTTTAAATCAAACCGACGCAGTATATGTAATTATGGCGACGTTTCAGCTTTACTGGTGGAGGAAGACCTCGGTGCCCGTCCGTTCATTATTTCAGGCACAAACGGGCACCCGAGTTTAACCACAGACGTTCCGTAAGCTAGCTGGATAGCTTCCTGACATAAAAGAATCCAAAGCATATATAACCAAGCATGGACATTGCACCTGGTCAGTAGATGACACCTAATTATTTTAAGGTCATTTTTTTAAAATCAGGGTCACAATGACGCTAAATATAAAGTCGATGTCCGATCAATAACATGTATATATGGTGCTGTGACAGGCAGGTAAAGTAGGGGCATCATTGTCAAAGAAATAAAGGAAATATATATGCACGCGACGTCTAAAGAGTTATTGCTGACCGATTTTCTTTTCAGATACTGACCTGTGTCTGTTGCCAGTAACTTGATTATGTTAATAATTAAATTTGCAGAACAATATTCTCGTTTCTTAACCGTATTATCACTTCAGGTCACGTTTATGATCGTGCCTTTTTGTTTACTGTTTTTTCTTTCTAAATAATCGAATAAATCGCTTGGTAAATTCACTACGGATTTCTCAAAGCTACCAGTACTTATTTTTACTTTATCACAAGAACTGCATAAAATCTTTAAAATTGAAAGATGCAACGTTATTTAAAGCTCCATCAAATAAACGGATGTACATGTATCAAGACAGGGAGTTTCAAACAGAAAGTTTAATAAATAGAAAAAGAATTCTATTTGAAAGGCCCTGATATCAAGAGAAAATGTGCTTTAATGAACATTTTACTTATATGCCTAAAAGCCGCCTAAAATAGCTATCATTTATATTTCTTAAAATCTCTTATGTACAGTTAACCCTCCGTGGTCGAGGGGTTAGAGTCGATGACTTCTAATCCAGTTACCTTTCTGGCGTGGGTTCGATCCCCGGGAGATGCTTTGGTAGTTTAGCGCGGAGGAAGGTAGTCTAGTACTGGTGTAACTCTCCAGGAACGATGGTTAGGAAACTACCTGCCTATATGACTGAAATACTGTTGAAAAAGGCGTAAAATGAAACAAACAAACAAACAGTTTAAATAAAGTAGCATAGTGTTGGCAATTGGTATAAGAACAGTATAGTAGTCAAAATGTTTATGTCTAAGTATGTCGCATTCAGCCCTAGTTTCTTCATGATATAAGCATTTCAAATTCATTATTATAATTTAAAAGCATTGAAATTTACAATTTCATTTAGTTTGTGACGACGTAATTAATGAAAAATCTTCTTTTTTCAGTCGTTTCACCATACATGAATAACTGAAAAATGAGCCGTATCATGACAAAACCAACATAGTGGGTTTGCGACCAGCATGGATCCAGACCAGCCTGCGCATCCGCGCAGTCCGATCAGGGTCCATGCTGTTCGCTATCAGTTTCTCTACTTGTCATCGGGTTTGTAAGCGAACAGCATGGATCCTGATCAGACTGCGCGGAAGCACAGGCTGGTCTGGATCCATGCTGGTCGCAAACGCATTACGTTTGTTTTGTCGTGACGCGGCTCAAATAGTATCATGGTCGCCACTTTTCTGTTAAACATCTACAGCAATCCCATTGAATTTATTGATTTCACAATTTTATCGGTTTTGTAGTTGTTGTCGGTGGTGGGGGTTTATTTATTTATTCATTCATCCATTCATTCATCCATTCATTCATTCATTCATTCATTCATTCATTCATTCATTCATTCATTCATTCATTCATTCATTCATTTATTTATTTATTTATTTATTTATTTATTTATTTATTTATTTATTTATTTATTTATTTATTTATTTATTTATTTATTTGATCAATAGAGGGTATTCAATTTTTTTTATGATTTATCAAATATATCGAGTGTTTTTGAAAATAAATATTCTTGGGTGACGAGTGAAATTTGATAATTTTCACACCACAAGGTGAAAATAAATCCTGTATTTGTATAAAAAAACTTAAATTTCTTTTTATTATATACATTTTCTCTTCTTTACATAAGAATTTGAAAGACTTTCCCTTAAATTGTGTATATTGTCTGTATATAGCAGAAAGAAGTCCGACAAAGCACCAGTGAAAATATAGAAAATATGTTTCACTGCAATGAAAAATATATTTTTGTACAGTGAAAATACGGAAAATGAGAATTCGTATTTCATTTCATCAATATTTCTTAATATTTCATTTATAAGTATATAATAAAGTTATTTTTGCGTTGCTTTTATGTTTTCTCGGGAATATTACACAGTCGAAAAAGTGGAATAAGAGAAAATATTTGCTTACGTAAGTGGCCTGACACCATAAGCTTATTACCTTAAACATGACATTTAATAACAGTTGTAAAATAGATTGCCACGTACACGGTGACACGACACTAAAAGTTATTATTCTAGGTCGTCATTTATTGACCATATAAATAAATTGGGTTAAATGCAATATTGTTGATTTCGTTAAGGACACAAAAACGGAGGCTGTTTCGTAACTCCGTTTTTTTATGATTTTTTTCTCTTCAGCATCATCGTTGATAGAATGAATTTGTATAAATATAAAAGATAAAAAACACATGTCATCTTTGTCAGAAAAATAGTTTATGTATATGATAGTGTAAAAGTGGTAAAAGAGGCACTTTTCTTTTATCGGGTATATATCATTTAGGCTATAGGACTTTGGAAGAGTTCCTTTAAAGTATTCATTTAGGTTTTATGGCATTATGTTGTTCTTTTTTAACATAACGATAACGGTACATTTACTTTGGAATTCTGCTATGTGAGTTGGAAAGTCGACATATGACCTTGACAGTGTTGTTGCAACGTATCCCCCCACACCCCCACAATATGAGGAAGAAAGCGACTTTTTATCTGCCAAAAGTACAACTGGTCGGGAAAGGTTGACCTTTAGCTTTTAGCTAAAGAACAATAACAATGATTATTACTTATTAACTATTCAAGACTTTTGAGGTTATAAAAACATATATGGTGCCAAATAAAAACAAGAATATTACCTGCCGGTGTCACCCTAATTATATCCCGTTTTATTTAATTCCAATGTGATAATTACTTTAACAGTGAACAGTATAAATGTAACTATTTTGCAGCAGACGGCAGAAGAACAGAAGCTCGTGTTTGCAATTGATCAACGTCGGATTTTTCGATTTTAGATTTTGACCGACAGGTAGGAAAACATTTTTACTTATCTATCTTTTTATTTTCTTTGTTCTGATAGTCTAGGATTTATCATTTAGTCATTGACTTTCTTATTTTTCTAATGAGGTCTTTTTACGAAATAGTAAATATATTAATATAGTCAAAATTAATCAGTGTGCAAAATGTTAAGAATCTTCAATAAATAAGATAAATTTATATTTTAATGCTTCTTTTGTGTTCGTTTTTCAGCAACTGTAGACATGTTAGCTCAAACTCTAGTCATTCTGTCGCTAGCCCTGGTCGGCACGCATGCGCAGGCGTTTAACCCAACACGTATGTAAATTTTAAAATTATAATATAGTCTGCATTTTTATATTAATATTATTTCACTAAGAGATTTAATAAAAGTATAACAAACAATCAACACAGGATAAATTTTACTATTATTTATTTAAACCTGCTTTTCTAAACAGGCACGTGCATTTTTTGTTATAGAAGACAAACGATTTCATGCAAAAACAGTTGACTTTTAGACATCTTTTAGAAATCTTAAAGAATAGTGAGTGGCTCTACTTCTTTATACAGTTAAAGTCCATTTTTTGCTCTGCAGTTGTTGTCGACAGCTGTACGAAAAGCTTGCTAGAAATCACACTTACCGACGCCGCCGACAACGGTATTGTGTATATCCAGGGACAAACCTCAGCTTGCCGACAGACGACCACATCCGGTACCTCAACACATACAATCGACTTTGCTGCTTGTAATATAAAATGGGTAATGTATTTTTTCTTATATATTTAGTCATTTCAATTTCGTTTTTTTAGTTGCTTTTTATGTGCAAAAACATAGATCTGACAGTTTACACCCCTTTTTGTGAGTTAAAAAATCAATCAGGAAACGATTTAGATAGCTAGATCATTGTGTGCATGTAAAATCATAAATACAACAAACTCTAAAATTCTTGTTTCTTATTTAAAGTTACATGTTTTACTGTATGTCCGAATAAGAAAAATGGGTCCATACACATACCCTTTCTTTAGATGACTTAGATTTTAATAATAATAATAATAATAATGAATAATAATAATATAAATAATATATTATTATTATTATTATTATTATTATTATTATTATTATTATTATTATTATTATTATGATAATTCCTTACATTAATTCATTAATATTTAGATTGTTATGTGTTTTTCTTTATGACCACTCGGAGTGTTGTTTCTACAAAATCGTCAGAAATTTGCAAGACATACGCTTTGAAAGAGCTTTGTTCAGCGTGTTAACATGCATGTTATTTTTATATAGGGGAGCGGTGGCCTAGTGGTAAAGGTGTCTGCCTCTCAACCCAGAGATCATGGGTTCGAGCTCTACTCGGGTCACGACCATGTTTCTTCATATGACACCAGTACTGGTTGGTACTCGAAAATGATTAATATAAGTTGCAAGAACTTGTTTCGCAATCGAGCTAAAACAAATATGTTTCAACCATGTTATTTATTATATATATTACAGGAAGAGACATTTAAGATAGTTATACAGAAAAACATGAACTATCAGACAGGGGCAGATAAACAGATACCAGTCATGTGTATTGCCGACCTGGCTGACCTCACGGTGACGGACAATCTCATTGCAGCGTAAGTTCTTCCAGTAAAATACACATTGTAGCGATGTTTAAGTGAATCGGTCTATAATTTTCCATTTGCTATTTTGTGGAATTACCTGGCTAGTAAAATATCTCATCAACAGAAACCAAAAAAAGTTATCAGAAAAGACATAACAAATTTTCAGAATAAGTCCATTTTGCGTGTAACAGTTCTTGCTCATGGAAATAGTTCATATATTAAATATTCATAATCGTACCTTAACACAGGGACCTTGGTCAATCACTAACAACAATGGGAGTAGCAAATTGTAAATGATCACAATGAACCTTAATCTTATAGACTGACATTGTATGACAAGTGCGTAAACGTCAAGTATATTGATAAAAATGTGTGCGCGTTTTTTTAATGCGAAGTTCATGTACATATTTTACAATTATTTTGCTATTGTACAATTGAAATTGCACACGAATTCCACTCTATGCAAGGACTCTCTCGTTAGCTTCAAATAAAGTATTTGTTTCGAGCGGCTATTTTGTTCTGTTGGTAATTATTTATGTTCACTAGAGTTTTTTTTTTTGATCTTGAAACTTTTTGAAACAATTGATAAATTTAGATAAATTAAGACTATACATTAAAAAGTATTCAAAGTATAATATGTAAACATCTCACCCGGAAGCTATATTTATGTTCTACTACTGCGGAGAATGATTCACTGCCGCTGCGATGAGCCCACTGCTTGTGTGAAAGCTGAGACCAGTGTGCACCTAGCTTACGTGGCTTGGTTTAAAGATAGAATTAAGTTCGATTGTGTAGGAAGCTGTAAAGTAATAGACACATTCGAATCCAATCTTGGGACCAACAAGTACCAAGAAATGAGCGTAGTTTCTTGCTCAAGGACATAGCGGCTTTCCCATGACGGGTCAACCCGATAAGCTAGCGATCATAAGATTACTAGTCCGATGTGTTAAACACTCGGCCATACCGGCACTTACTTGTTTATATAAAGTATTTTTATTGTATGTTTTTACAGGAACAAGGACGATGACGCAGGGCAGAATAAGACTGTCAAACCGACAGCCACAATGGCTCTCTACTCTAACGGAAACTCTGTATCTGGTAGCACCGTTAAACTAACAGACACGATCACCATGGTGATGCAGTTAGACACAGAATTCATACGTATGTAGTACTTTAACATATCTTCTTACACAGTTAACTCCTAATGTATCGATATTGATGTATCGATATATCGGTTATAATGTCGGTTATAATGGTAATACAGTTATACGAGTATACAGCGTTCTTATTTCAAATTTAAAAAAGTCTTCTTATGCAGTAAATTTTACTTTTATCGATATCGCTTGTATCGCTTGTATCGATAAATGGTTTATAATAGTGAAGCACTAACTGACGTAGACACTGAGTTCATACGTATGAAGTATATTTATTTTAGATTCTAGATAGGTCTCCTTATGCGATAAATTTTACTTGTATCGATGTATCGTTTTAATCGATGCGTCTGCCTTGTCAAGTGACTGTCAGCGTGTTCTATGATAATCTTATGTAAGATGTTCGGCAAATAACGATATCACAGTCATGTATCGATATTTTAGTTTCACTCTTGAGTTATTGTCACATAAACGTTGATGAAATATTTTCAAAAGAACCAAAATATTACACCCATTAAAATTATCTCGGAAAACATTAATTTGCTTATCTTCTTTTTTTAAATTATTTCTTAACGTATTTTGGGCTGATTTATAAATACATGTCCATGTAAACTTGACATATTATTTTTGTATCATGTATTCTGTATCGCCTCATACATAATAGATATAAAATATTATGGTAGAATGATAGCGACCTTTATAGACAACAGTTTTACTTGCATGCAATTTATTTTTATAAATGAGTTAGGGAGATTGTTCGTTGTTTGACTGATACTTATATAAATACGTCTCATTTCAGAGGATTTTGATATCAAGGCCAGATCTTGTGTAGCAGACACCATTAATATCATTACAGATTAGTAAGTTCATTAACACACAAAATAAAACCTGCTTTAATCAGCATGCCTCCAGATTCATGCTAATTTCATATATAAAAAATGTATTTCAAAGTAAAATTTCGGAAGTGAACACACATTGCAAACAGCACTTACATTCCATGTGAATTACCACAACGACGTCAAAATGTGCACAATAGTCCTAACTGTGACAGTCGCGCAGTAGAAATATGATTATAAATACTGCCAAATCAGTCCAATAATCGCATATAACATTTAAATAATTACTTGAATCTTAAATCTTTTTTTTTTACTTTTCGTGAAATTTTAGTACATTTATCTCAAGTTTGATTGTCTTGAAATGTTTGGCTCATCTGTAGGCATGCAGCTTCTTAAAGCGAATGTAGTTCTAGCTAATACATTAACTGATTGGTGTATCTAATTTAACATTGATTTGAGTTAAAATACAGTTATGAAAAGCAAATTTACAACTCACTTTATTCCAAAAAAAAATACTTATTTACTGAATTGTACCTTTTTTCATAACGATAGTGGACAGTGATGTCCTTTTGTCGTCTGCTCTCCAGTATAAATTATATAATTATGACCATTTGTTAACAGTTGGTCAAGATCAACAGAATTTTTTTTTCATAGCTGAAAGGAACAGTGACTGCCATTTGTCATTATAAACTAGTTCATTTATGGACGCGAACACAAGATAATTATATCTAATTTTATAAACGATAAATTAAAGGCACAATTGTCGGGGACATTAATATTTTTATTTTAACATACATGTGTTTTAATTTCAGCTGTCCAGTAGATACTTATCTGTTCCCGGTTATCTCAAGAACAACTCAGGGAGTTATCCAGGCAGAGTTTGGAGCCTTCAGAACAACCAGCTTATCAGGTGATCCTGTACCTATGGTGTTTTCTTGCACCTTGCAAGTCTGTCTCGGATCATGCAGCCCTGTAAGTACAATAATATGTAAACAATTTGTAAATTATACATACTCGTACATGTATATTAGTAACCAAACCTTTTGGCTGGAGAGATAGCAAATGGAAATCACATCAGAAACGTTTGTTTGATTTTGTATGTATGGTATTGCATATGTTACAGATGACTTAAATAATCAAAACGTTTACTCAATAAAGAGATATTTGGCCAAGTGATTAAGGTTTTTTACCTTCAAAACAAGGGTCGTGGGTTTTAGTCTAACTCAAGATATAGCCCTGTTTCCCTGTATTACACCAGTAACGGTTAGTTCTAATGAGAGGAAGTGATTAATATAATTTGCAATATTTTTCTTTTTCACAATATGCATTAAAGTAAATGTATATCCTGTGCCGCGGTGTAAAACTTACAAAAGCGGTCAATTTCTTTTTTAATCAAAGTATAAATTAAGCATTTGACCAATGTTGTCCTTCTTAGATGGTCCTTTTTCTGGTTTTATTCTCTCAATATATATGACAAAGCTTTCAAAGGATCAATCAGAATTTGCAGTTTATTTTCTATTGAATAAGGAGGTACATCAAAACTAGTTTACGATCAGCGTTCAGAACACTTTTCATATTTTACGTAAAATAATAAACCACTGTTAATTCGCAGACGACATGCACAGACGGGTCTTCAAGTTACGGACGAAAGAAGAGAAGCTTAACAAAGCGTCAGGCTGAACCAGACAATGTTGTCGAGGATATTAGTGTTGGTACCTCTCTCAAGATTGCCACAGATGAGGTTGTTATTGAAGGTAAGATTATTTATGTAATGGATATGCCTTAATCGGAACTTTCTCGACTATTATTCATAATAAGACTGGCGGAAAGGGCCGAAAAAGTTGCGGTTGGTTTTTGCCTGTCTTTGAACCTGAAACAGTAAATTTGAAATTGTGAATGCCCGGATGCGGAGACTGGTCTCGCTCTCTACTGGTAGCAAACGATTAGCACTTTCGGTTCGAGCAAATTCTAAATGGCGTTCCTCAGTTCTTGAATTGTTGTAAATTTTCATTAGTTGTATAACCGAATTTTAAATGTGTTTACTAATTTGAGATTAAAAAGCTAACTTGTGACTGAAGGTGGAAAGAAGTTGAATATTACTTTTTCAAACTTCGAATCATCAAAATGTTGATAAAGTCATTCTTACAAAGTTAAGTTATTTGCTGCGTTGTTTGTATTTCATTCACAAATATATAATGTATGTGTCTTAAATCTTGGCGGACAAAGGGAAATAACTGTTACTTTCCTTTTGTAAATTAGTCGGTATCAACGTCCGAAAATGTTCTTATCATGTCGATAATGTTTTATACACAAGGTCCCACAGACGTAAACGATGTTTGTCTCAACCAAGGCCTCTTCATTGTTCTGATCATCTTCCTGGTCGGCGGGATGCTTGCATCAACAGCTGCTGCAGTCATCATGTTTAGAAAACTACAAGAAAAGGCGGGAATTTTGAGCAAACTTGGCGGAACTTCAATGGGAGGCATGTCTATCCCTGTGGCGTAAATCTCGGAAAAACAGGCTTACCAACCAGGCTTACCAACCAGGCTTTGTAACCAGACTTACCAACCAGGCATACCAAACGGATTAACGATCGCTGCTTATAATTGGCTTATTATTAGAAACTAATTAATTACGACAATATGATCTAAAATATACTTATACATTTGAAATTATGAATTTTGTTTTGAATTTTTGTTATAAAATGTTTTATTTTGTTGTTTTTCTCTTCTTCTTTTTTGTTTTGCTAAAACATAGAACATACATATTTTATTTTAGATTGGCTTGAAAATGTTTCTGGATGTTTCAAGTGCTACTGTGTAGGACCATTTTATTATGATTTCATCTTTTTTATAGGTTACTGTTTCAAATAATTAAAAATTTACAACTATGATTTTAACCACTTTTCCTTGTATGAATGAAAATCCTCTAACAATAAATTTTCACCCGCATTTTAGGAAGTGTTTGTTTTACTCTGGCTAAAAGTCTGCAACTTATAGATTCTAATTCAAGAGGAACTCCATTGAGGTCTAAAAGCCTATAACCAGCAAACACAAGACGTCAGACTGACGTCAGATTTAAGACAGCTTCTGACGCCTGTCCACCGTTTTGGCAACGGAGATACGATTGAAAACGATTGAACAAGTTTCAGCATAAAATATCATTGTTATACTTTATTTTTATGGATATATGCACATCAGAAAAACTTTCAGATATAAATCAATAATATGAACACAAATGCTTTCTAATCAAGTGGCTGATGTCCTGCTTGCACTTTCATCATACAATTCAGAGGGGGTTAACTATTTCGCTTAAATAGAGTTAACGCACGTGTGCCTCGTTATCAAAATCTTAAAACACAAATGTCAGAAGATCAACTCTGTTTAAACTTGACAATTGAAGATAATGATGTTTGAACCAATAAAGGACTTAAAATGGAATTAAGAATAAAATTAAATTTAACTATTTGATAATGAGTGGTGACACTAGTTGTTAGGTTTCATTAATGTAACCAACCCCCTAGATACCTGATACTATTGATACTTAAAGAGATCTTAAAGTTTCATGCCTCTAGGTCAGCCAGTTGAGCAGAAAATCAACATGGAGGAGCATGCACTCAGACTTTAAAAGAAAATTTAAAACGTTCACGATTCAAAACGTTATTTACAAGTTATATGCAATTGCAGTATCTTATCATCATATTTCTGCTGCGAGACTAACTCAGTAAAAGCTATATTTGCATATACAGACCTACTGTTGGTAATTTTCGTAAATTTTTAATTGCTGCTTGAAATCTTTGCTCACTTGATAATATTTTTCTTTTTAATTTGTTTTAATTTTTCATGAATTATAGCATAAATATGGAGGCAAACCGCTACATAAAACGAAACGAAAATGTGTTTAACAAAATCTCGGTCCGGAGTCATTACATGAAATGAACGACTGAACAGCATCCAGCCATTGCTGACCAGAGCAAATATGTGAAAAGGAATAAAAAGGGACTGGGGATCAAACCATTAGCTTTTTTTAGTTCCGAGAAGCCATATAAAACAAATCTAAATATTTCATTGTTTTATACATATGCTAAGAACTTGCTTCTTGGCATTATTCAAGGATATATGACAAACGTTGCAAAGAGTAACATTTTGCATTCATTGCCCCTTAATGATCAACATTATTTTTTGTCCAATCACATTGCAACTTTTTACAAAATTTTGTTATGGGATACAGCAACATGTGTAAATGTCGAATCATGTTGATGACGATTCATGTATATGACGAATCATACAAACATTATATTACATATACTGCAAAATTGCAAAAATACTTGTTGCACATTGTGCTTTCCTGGGAATATTTCATGGATTCACAGATGTCTTTAAATGACATTTAAAGACAATGAAAATGTAGCAAGTATTTATAGCAGTCACGTGCCTTAATAATGTTCGTTTTATGGAATCATATATAAGCAATGAAAATTTATAAATGTTGAGCATTTACAGTTAAAGTCTAATTGAACATCTGTCAAATCCATAAAGGTATTCATCGCAAACGCGCAATATGCTCAATGAGAATTTTGATAATCCGTCAATATGTTTCAAGAACAAGGGAATTATATAATATAACTTTGTTTAACTATGTTTTAATGTTATCTTTTATTGCGTATAGCATTGCCAACAACTACAATTCAGGAGATAGAAGCAGTTTGAAACCTTTACAATATAAGACTTTTACAGCATTTAGATTCGTATGGAACAATGTGAAACAAAAGAAAACATTGAAATCCTATATTCATCTGCAATCTTAATGATTATTTTATGTTATGTGCAAATCACTCTGTCATTCAGTTTCACAGTTATAAATGTCTCAGAACCATGCTAACCCGGTATATTCTGGCCAGGTGTCTGTCATATGATATTGATAGAACTAACTTATCCTGAAGCCGCACTGCTTTCTGCTAAAAAGGAAGGACACTAAAACAGATTGTTTCCTTCAAAATGAATATCAGACATATTGTTGTCATTGGAATATATGTGTGCCTTTGTAAGTAGTTGTTTAAATTAATCTTGTTTATAATTTTAGATTAAAGCTTCATTATATTCAGTCAGAAAAAACTGTTAATAAATCTAACTAATCTAAATGTTAATAAATCTAATAACCTAATCAATTCGTACAGAAACTTAAATTGAATTCATTAAGTGATTTAAATTTTATTCGTTAAGAAATCGTAATGCTATGTGTTTATATCTGCACAATAACTATTTATCAACATTGATACCATGCACATTAAACCCTTAAGCTGCGGTCTCACTTACTACCGGCAGAGCTCAGGACCATCCCGATAAGTTACCGGGATGATCCGGGGTGAAATTATTGTTGCAGTCACACTAATCCCGGCAGCTTTACGGTAATTCCCAACTAACCACCCAGGATGTGCTCCGGATTATCAAGGCAGAGCCCAGGTGAAGCCACGGTTCATGCCGGTGCTTCCCCGGTCGTTCCCGGATGACGCCGGAAGAGCCCCGGTTGTCCCAGGCAGAGCCACGGTCGATCCAGGCAGACCCCTGGCAGAGCACAGGACGATCCAGGCAGGTAAAACCCCTGTGGATTGAAAACGAGTAAAAAATGTAACATTGATATATAATTTTTATTACATATAATATCTATTGTTACAGAATAGTAATTCATGATAATTTTCTGAAAAATCCTTATGCAGGACTTGATAGAAGGGAAATGGGAAGGGTTTTAATACAAACAAGTGCAATCATTGCAAATTGTCGTGATTCTTTTAAAATGAACCGGGCTCTGTCGGGGCTCTACCTGGATCAACCGTAGCTCCATTGTCATCCTCCGGGGCTCTGCCGGCATTCACCGGGGCTCTGCCAGCATTCACCAGGGCTCCACCGTAGCTCTACCGGCTATATCATACCCCGGATCATCCCCGGTTTGTGCGGCAGAGCTACGGTGCTTCCCCGGTGTAACCCCTGTCGTTCTCGACAGAGCTAAGGATGAAGCCGGCAAAGCTATACCTTCCCGGATCATCCCGGACCACCCCGGTAACATTAAATATTTTATTCCATCCGGGGTCGAATGCCGGATGTCCCCAGATCATCTCGGACGTTGCCGGCAGATTTACGGATGTACCCCGGTCGTTCCAGGATCACCCCGGATGTCTACCGGGGCTCTGTCGGGATGTAAGCGAGACTGTAGCTTTAAGCTACAGTCTCACTTACATCCCGGCAGAGCCTCGGCAGAGCCCTGGTAGACGTTCGGGGTGATCCGGGAATGACCGGGGTACGACCGGGAACACCGTAACTCTGCCGGCAACGTCCGGGATGATCCGCGATGATCCGGGAACATCCGGCATTCGACCCCTGATGGAATAAAATATTTAATATCACCGGGGTGGTCCGGGATGATCCGGGAAGGTATAGCTTTGCCGGCTTTATCCTTAGCTCTGCCGGGAACGACCGGGGTTATACCGGGGAAGCACCGAAGGTCTGCCGGCACAAACCGGGCATGATCCGTGGTATGATAATGCCGGTAGAGCTACGGTAGACCTACGGTAGAGCCCCGGTAGATGCCGGCAGAGCCCCGGTAACTACAGGCAGAATCCCGGAGGATAAAGGTAGAGCTACGGATGATCACGGTAGAGCCCCGGCAAAGCCCGGTTCATTTCAAAAGAATAACGACAATTTGCGATGATTGCACTTGTTTGTATTGAAACCCTTCCCATTTCCCTTCTATCCAGTCTGGCATAAGGATTTTTCAGAAAATCATCATGAATTACTATTCTGGAATAGTATATATTATATTAAATAAAAATGATGTATCAATGTTATCATTTTCGAGCGTTTTTAATCCACCGGGGTTTTACCGGGGCTCTGCCTGGATCGTCCTGGGCTCTGCTCTGCCTGGATCGACCGGGGCTCTGCCTGGATCAACCGCGGCTCTTCCGGCGTCATCCGAGAACGACCGAGGAAGCACCGGCATGAACCGTAGCTTCACCTGGGCTCTGCCTTGATGATCCGGAGCGCATCCTGGGTGGTTAGTTTTGGAGCTACCGTAGTGCTGCCGGGGTAAGTGTGACCGCAACAATAATTTCACCCCGGATCGTCCCGGGTCATCCCGGTAACCTACCGGGATGGTCCTGGGCTCTGCCGGGAGTAAGTGAGACCGCAGCTTTCGACACTATGTACAAATGGTTATTATTCCAATAAACTAATATCATCAATATATATTAAGCGACATAGGTTAAATAATGTTAACATATGCAAATATAATTCTTAGTAATGATTGACTTGAATCTTCTGATATTTGATAACGCTTTTAATTTTCAGTATGTTTAACGTCTTTTTTATTGAACTGTTTCCGACAAAAACAAAACTCGTGACTTACAATCTATTTTGTAAGTTGGCATGAAAACACAAATGCCTATAGACGAGTCGCATTTGAGGTCTCTCCTGCTCTCATCGATAATTGATAATTATTTATCTAAAAAGAATTGTCAACGGACCTCGATGGAAATTGAAATTTAGATACGTGCTGAAAATATATTATTGTCTTATTTCATTTCAGTTCAGTGAAAACCGGAAATAATCCCTATTATATCTGGCTGAATAAGCAATGTAGTCAAAAATCAACATTGAGTGTTTTAAATTATATTTTGCTGACAAAAAATTAATCAATTAACGCTAAATAAGAACGCACTGAGATGTTTCTTTGAAAATATTAATAGTCATTAGAACAAACATTGTGTATTTTCATTTATATACGTACATTATAATCCACATTTAGTGATTTAAATGATAGGTTGCTGAGAAAAAAAATTAGCGCTAAAATGTTATGTTTTTTTGAATTATAATAGTAATTAGACCAGGCATTGCGTTTTTTATACTCGTATACGTACATTATAATCAAATTAACTACAATTAATTAATCTATGTAATATTTAACGTTCCTGTGCATGAATTATGAAATAAAATCTCGCTCTTATGAAATAAAATCTCGCTTTAACAATGTTGTGTCCGTCATTCATTTAAATCATAAAAGCACATATAACTTATGAACCTAAAATGTCATAATACAATATTTTTTTAAATTTCATTTTATATCAAATTTCAAGTTTACTATGAAGATAAATGTCAAATGTTTGTGTGTTATTTTATGTAATACAAGGAATACATGTACAATAAAACACATCAGTTACTCTATCTCTTCTTTAGACACACACTCAACAATATAGATAAAATTAAAGGCCGCCAAAACACTCTAAAGTATCGGTTTGACTGAATTGATTTTCATGTGCAGCAGTAGCTCATGCAAATAACCGTGCATGTCCTTGAGACTTGGTCTTACGTTAATAAGTAGTTGGTATACAGAATGCTTCAAAGTGTTACAATAACGGCTTATATGTTTATATATTTCAATTCAAATTAAGTTTTGTTTATCTAAAAGAAATGTTCTGATATCTTTATTCAACACGTTTTTTCTTTTTTTTAAGACTTTTAACCTATATTATTTAAACTGCAGGTTTAAAGAGCACAGATGGGCGTCATAAACGTGAGACAGGTAAGTTTAAATATTATCTATTCAAACTTGATATTGTTGTTTTATTTCTGTGTTGTTAAAGTACTAATTATGATAAACAAAACATCTTACTGGAAACTGTTAAGAGGCGGAGTATTTACACAAACAACTAACTAGGGACATTATATCAATTTTACCAAAGCAAGGAACAGCCCGTGTGGATATAAGAAACTACAATGTTTTTTATCATTTGTAAAAAAGGTACAGGCAAAAATGAATTTTTTAGATAAATTGATAAAACGACAGTGGATAGAATGACGAAACATTAAAAAAAAGGGGGGGGGAACAAGGGAAAAAGTTACAAAGTAAAAAGTTTATATGTATATATAACGAATGACAAAATAATATATGAATATTCCTTAGATCTACTTGTTTTAGAAAAACTGAGATTATCTTTTATGCATGGTCCGTGCGATCCAAATCCGTGTCAGAATGGCGGTACATGCACGGTTGATGGTACAGATTACACGTGCAGCTGTACAAGTCAGTTCAGAGGAAGAGATTGTGACAGTAAGCAGTTTGTATTATTGAGCCAAAAACTTTGTTTCATAAAATAGTATGTTTTGGAAACTTTATGCCAAAATTAAAATAAAAAACAACAGCAACAAAAAAAAAACATATAAATATTCCTAAACCAACCAACCAAACAACCAACAACCAAAAACAAAAAAACAAACAAACAAACAATAAAAAAACAAAGTTAAACAAGGTTCTCTTGTTTCAGTGTTGTTTATTACTCACTAGTCATTAAGCAAAACTATCCTTTCCTTCTTTTATATTTTGATCGAAAGAATAGTTATAATGATTTATTGTATTGTATGGAAGTTGAAGTATCAAACCGTTTACATTTTGCTACTGTAATCTCTAATTGTGATAGCATGGACCTTCAAAATAAATATAAGTGTGACCTTGACCTTTGAAGAAGGGACGTGGTTCCTGGACGCGACAAAATGTTGTTATGAGATAGACATTTGTGCCAAATTTTTCCAAATCTCTCAATGCATGACAAAGTTACAGTCTGGACATGATTGTTGAGTTAGTGGGGACACACGGACAAACGGACATGAGCCTTAGCCGCGACACATTGTCTTGATGTGGTAGACATTTGTGCCAAGTAATTTTAAAATCGTTCCATGCATAACAAAGTTACAGTCCGGACATGAATGTGTATCTTTAAACACTTCTCGAGAGAATGAGTACCTTCAAACTATAAGTGTGACCTTGACCTTGAAGGTAGGGACATGGGTCTTTGTCAAGACATGACGTCTTGATGTGGTTGACATTTATACCTAGTTATTTTAAAATCCTTCGATGCATGACAAAGTTACAGCCGGGACACGAATGTGTGTACCTATTAACTCTAATTGAGATAAAGTGAACTTCAAAATGGTGGTGTGACCTTGACCTTTGAGGTAGGTACTTTATTGAACACAAGACATCGGCTTGATGTTGTAGACATTTATGCCAAGTTTTTTAAAATCCTTCCATGCATGACAAAGTTACAGCCCGGACACGATTGTGTGTACCTATTAATTCTAATTGTGATAATGTGAAACTTCAAAATGTTAGTGTGACCTTGACCTTTGAGTTAGAGACGTAATTCTTGGACGCGACACATCGTCTTGATGTGGTAGACATTTATGCCTAGTTATTACAAAATCATTCAATGCATGACAAAGTTATAGTCCGGACACGAATATATGTACCCATTTACTCTAATTACGATAATGTGAAACTTTAAAATGATAGTGTGACCTTGACCTCACATGATGTGGTAGACATTTGTGCTAAGTTATTTCAAAATCCCTCAATGTATGACAAAGTTACAGTCCGGACACGAAAGAAGTGGGGACGGACAGACGGACGGGGCAATTATATTATGCATCCCTTTGGGGGCATAAAACGCTTGGCTAAAATCGAATACTCGTATAAGATTTGTCCTTTATATCTGGAACAATAGATCGGATTAACCCGCACTGCGACTTTCCTTACCGAGGAACCATTTATTAAATAGTCCCTCATGATTGCTATACTTATATTGTGTGCATATATTTTTTGAATGTTTTGCATCAGTGTGCAACACCAAGGCTTGAAGTTCAAAGGTCAGGGTCACAATTAGATTATGAATTTTTTCTTTAGAACAATGCATATTGCTGCTCGTGTCCGGCCAACAATTAGACATCCCTGTATGGATTTTAAAAATACATTCATGGGTGTTTCTTTTTAAATATTTGGGCATAGTGAAAATATTAGACCGAAGTGTTTGTTGAAGTGTGTAACATTCTTATTGTAGTGTCATGCCTTCATTGCAATGTTTCCAGTGACAAAATTCTTTCCATAGAAAGTTGTTGATGTATGTCTTTTTGCTATAAAAAGTGTATCAATTATGTGTGTTTTGTATTGTATGTGTGTTAATAATGTTCTAAGTGTTATCTTCATAGATATGACGGGGAGTCATATTAACCCCTTGGTGATTCAATGACAATTTTAGAACTGTAAACATAGGATGGACAGGAAAAAGTAAACAATGTTTACCCCACTTTTTATGTTTGTTTGGAAACGTTTTTTGTTGTTTTTTTTTTTCAAAATATAATTATACTCATTTATTAGTTACAGTCTAACTTGCCCATGCGACCACGTGTATTAAGCGACTTTTGTCTTAATGCGGCCACTTTCAATTCCCCCCGTTCAATTTCTCTATATATCTTTATTGTATCAAGCGACTTTCACGACCAACGACCGCTAATAAGTCAGCTAGTTGAGATCAATCTTTTCATTAAACGACCACTTTTACCTGTCAAGTAATTGTGTTTTTAGAGAACGCCGCCTCGTAATGTCACAAGTGTCAACAATCAAAACACAGTATATAAATGTGTGAAAAACTCTATTTGCCAAATCATTTTAGTGTATGTATATGTGTGACGTGTATTATCCAAAAATATCGATAAAACAATGCAGCGCTTCGCCCCTACTCAGATGGTGTATACACTTAGCTGTTGATATTTAGACTGCATTGAATTGACCTTGAACTTGATCAGAAATCAAATTAATCATTACAATCAGATGTAGTTTATTTCAAATGAAAAATGCACAACAGTAAAAAGCTTCACTTATCAGGGTTTTCGTGTTTGAGACAAGATAATACAACGGAGAAGTTTAAAAATTCTGGAAAAATGTCAAACATGTACGTAACGGATCAAAACTGATTTGTTAATAAATATCTGAAAGTTATTTTTTTCTACATTAGCATCCATTAGGATTATCGGAGCGTTCTAACTATTAAACATTTATTAAAATGAAGTTGAAAAACATTCCCACCGCAAAAGAAAGATGTCATGAATAAATTTTGACTTTTATCATGCTTTGTCTTCAGAGACAGTTTCATTAAACGACCGTTTTGGGTATTTCCCTTGCACGGTCGCTTATACAAGTTTATTAATCAGATATTGACGAGTGCAATCCTGATCCATGTCAGAACGGGGCAACATGTACAGACAGGTAATACAAGTTGTTAGATAAGTTTTTAATATCTAGTTCTTATAGTAAAAACTAAAGCCTTCAGGTGGGTTTTGAGAATCATGCTGTAACTTCAATCTATATAAAATAAATGTTAAAGTAGAAAGCTAAAATGCTAATGTAAAATAAAAATTTAGTAAAAAAATTAGTGACATGTTTTAATAATTATGAACATTATATAAGTCAAATTGGTATGTGCAAAATCAACACACCCCTCCAAATGGACCTTCATGGTACCATATGGATCACAAGTGAAATATCTGGAAAATCATGGAATAGGGTTATAATACATGTAAACAAATATTTGTTAAATTATCTGAATTTCTCGTCTGACTGCATTTACAATAAATTTTGCGACTCAGTTCTAGGTTTGTTTTTTCTCATATACCTTTTTCAAACATCAAATCATAACATTGAAATTATGCTAGTCATTTGTTTACCTATTTTTAATCAACATTGACATTACTAAAATGCCTTAATTAATGTTGACAGTTTTATATAATGCAAAGCCAGAAAATGCCATCATTTGGGCGTCTGACATTAGATTGAAATTTTTCTAAAATAAGATAAGATGTTCTGTTTAATCCTCATATTTAAACATATAACTTTTTGTTCAAACTAGTCATTTAAAAAAAAAGCAACACATATTGTTGGCCTGGTGTATGTTAAATGTTTGGGTTCTTATATTTGCATGTTTTTGTTTTTGTCTAAATGATACCTTAAATGTTGAAAATGAATGCCTGTTATAGGCTAGCGAAAAGGAAAGCGAGATATAAACTCCTGTAAGGTATGCTTTGTTGGTTTCTACTTAGACTATCTTTATAATAAGTCACTTTTCATATAAAACAAATATTGCAAATTTTCGAAAGTAGACTAGTATACTAAATGTATTCAGAATTGCACTGTCATACAAAATGTAACATTATTAATGTAAATTTTACACCATATGCCTTAGAATATTATTATACATGTATCCTGTTATACATGTTCTAATACTATCAGCAAATAAAAATGTCATTACAAATTGACATACTTGTGCTGTTTTGTCTTTTTCTGTAAAACAACAATTATATTTTACTTAAAATATATTCATGTACGAAATTTATACAAGTACAAAACTTGTAATAATTTAGATTGACACTTTGAAACACAAACAATCATGCTTACTTATTGACGTGTAGCATAAGAGCGAATCAGGAAATATTAATTGAAGTCCAAATTTATGCAATGAAATATACCTAAATATTTTAAGAAAATCTCCATTTACTGTAAATAATTTATTTCTTTTAAAAAATGTCAACTTAAGAGAAATTATTATAATGAGTATATTTCAATTTTTCTGTAATTCTCTATACAATGTGCAGTTTTTAAATTTAACCCCACCCATCGTACCTTAAGAAATAAAGAAAAATACTTGAAAACAATAAATTTAAAATACATGAAAATAGAGAATAATTTCATGAAATCACATATAAAGTAAAATACAAAAGCAGAGAAATACAATAAACATAGTTCAGCGATTTTTTTTTCTCATTTTGGGTGAAATTATCCCACCCACCCACTTTAACTTACAAATTATGCGATTTCTTCCATTTTTTTATTAAAGCAACTTAAACACTCATAGTATTTATGAAAAACAAAACAATATTAGAATGTAAGTTGCTAATTGGAATATTTTTGTTATTTTTAGGTAACTGTATTACAAAAATGTGCAAAAAAAGAGGCATTTTTCTTTGATATTTTGAAAATTTTAGGACTGAAACCTGAAAAGCTATATATTTCATTGTTATCTCATTATAAATTGATTATTTTTGAAATGTTTGTACACCTTTTTATCGAAAACAGCATAATCTTTGCTGTAAAATTTCCCATAATCAGATCTATATCCGTTTTGCATAAAATCGGCCGCCATATTGAATTCTGAAACAATGTGAAAGCAAAAATTTGTAAGATTTGCATTTTTGTAAAGGAGATACTATATGCTTGCCCTGGTG